GGCAGCGTAGATGGAAACAAAACCTGAATCTGTGCCATTGCACTGGATAGTTTGCTTTGGAGATGAGTCTGTTGGAAAATTACTGCCCTGGTGCAGCGACTGTGGGCCTGGGGCAGTGCAGGAGCAGTATAAAAGCAGGCTCTTCTCCCTACTCCCACATTCCCTCCACTCGCCTCCATCTCCTTGGGAACAAGGTGAGTTTGAAGCCCATTCTCCATTTTCTCCTCTGGCATTTCACAGCACAGACCTGGCACTTTGTCCCGTGGGGGGTCTTGGAAGTGCTTGTGGTGGGGGAGGGAAAGAAGGAGGGTGTGTAACTGCTGAGTCTTGGCCAAAGTGTCCCCACAGCTCTGGGCTAGTTGGGGCCCTTGCTGGGCTTGAGCTGCTGCTGGGCTTTGTCTGAGGGGAAGAACTTGTGAGCCTCCATCAACAACCTTCAGCTCTCCTTTCCAACTCAGGCCTTGGGTCCCCTGTGGTGGGGTGAGAGGCTGCTCCTCACCCATCTACCCTGCTCTGCTTCCCCTGCCCTCTGTCCCAGGTGCAGCTCCAGCCCCAGACATGTCCTGCTACACCCCGTGCCTGCCCTGCCAGCCCTGCGGCCCGACCCCGCTGGCCAACAGCTGCAATGAGCCCTGTGTCAGGCAGTGCCAGGACTCCAATGTCTTCATCCAGCCCTCCCCCGTGGTGGTGACCCTGCCCGGGCCCATCCTCAGCTCCTTCCCACAGAACACCGCCGTGGGATCCTCCACCTCCGCTGCCGTTGGCAGCATCCTCAGCTCTCAGGGAGTGCCCATCAACTCCGGGGGCTTTGGCCTCTCTGGCCTGGGCAGTGGCCTCTGTGGCAGGAGCTGCTTCCCCTGCTAAAGCTGCTCCCTGCTCTGGGCTCTCCCCTTGGATCCACCTCTCTTCCCTCCCTTGACTCATTAAATTCTGCTGCATCCCAGCCCACGCCTCCGTGTCATCCTTTCCCCTGCAGACACTCTCCCAAGGCACAGATGTTGCCCCAGGGGGTTTCTGGGAGGAGCTTCTTGGGGATGGTTTTGCACCATTTGTCAGGCTGGCCCCGAGTGAGCTCCGTCCTGTGTGGAGTGACCCTCTGGTGTCTGAATTTCTGCCTCTTTGCCTCAGGACACAATTACCCTCCACTGTCCACTGACAACCAGATGTTTGCACATCTTTTCCTTTTCCTCCCTAAGCTCCACTCTGTGACACAAGTTCTCAGCAGTGAATATCTTACTGACCTGACACAAGAACCAGCTTCCCATCAGACACCAGGAGAACCCTTCCTGACATTTTTCTGTCAATACATCAGTTACTCTGAGTTCCACCAAAACTCACCCTGAACACTCTCCATGATGGGCCACCTCCTTTTCCAGTATCCCACCACACTCATCATCATAAATTTCATCCTCTTATCCCATCTACATCTACTCTATTTCAATTAAAAACTGTTGCTCCTTATCCAATTGCTACAGGCCTCAGAAAAATATCTTTCTCTGACTTCCTTGTACATGCCCTTTACATATTCAAAGGCTGCAATAAGATCTCCACAGACCCTGCTCTTCTTCTGCCTGAAAAACTTGGACTCCCTCAGCCTTTCTCCATAGGTGTGATGTATCCATGTGATCGTTTTTGCAGCCCTTCTCTGGAACTGCTCTAACAGGTCCATGTCTCTTTTGATATGGGGACCCCAGACTGGACTAAAGGCTCCAGGGGAGGTCTAGCAAGAGCAGACCAGAAACAGAGAGTCCCCTCCCTTGACCTGCTGGCCATGTTTGTGTTGGTGCAGCCCAGGACATGACTGAATTTCTGGCCTGAAAGTGCACATTGCTGGCTCATGTCAAATACTTCAACCTCCATTTTCTCTGGTTCCTTCTCTGCAGTGCTGCTCTAAACCATTCACCTTCCAGTCCTGGCCTTGTTGAAGTTCCTGAGTCCCACACGGGACCATTCCTCAAGTCAGCCAAGATCCCTTAGATTGAAACACTTTCCTCAAGTGCAGCAGTGCAACCTTCAGCTTGGGTCATGCACAGCCTTGTTGAGGGTCCACCCAGTCCACTACCCATGTCATCGATGAACATACTAACAAATATGGTCCCAGTATTGACCCCTGAAGGACACCAGTCAGCACTGGTTTCCACTTGGACCCTGAGCCGGTGACTGTGCCCCTGGGGCACCGTCACTTGCAGGTGTGGAAGGAACCCATGACTCCAGCTGAGCCCCCGGCTGTCAGATCCATCCTTGCCCAGCCCAGTCCTCTGGGCCTCGCTGCTCATTCTGTGCAAGGGACGCGTGGCCGCTGCACAAGCTGGTTGAGCAGCCTGGGCTGTGGAAGGCTCTGGGAGGGCAGAAGCCCTCAAAGCCCCTGAGAATTGGATAGGAGGGGAGAGGAAGGGAAAGGAAAGAAGATACAGCAATTTATCTTGCCCTGGGTGCCATCATTCTGGGACAGGAGGCTCAAACCAAAAAAAGCCTCAGAGGACAAGAGGAGAGGGAATGGAGCACCAGTCTGTACTGGTGCTGGCTGGGATGGGGGTCACCGTCTTCAGAGCAGCCAATGTTGTTCTGTGCTTCACATGTGTGGCTAAACCAGTGCAGAGAACACACCAAAGCTTGAGCTATTGCTGCACAGGCCTTGCTCACCAGCAAGGCCATCTCTCTTTCTCACTCTGCATCCCCTGCAGTGCAGTCCAGGGGTGGACAAGCAGATGGAGGTGACACAGCCAGGACAGATGACCTCAGCTGACCAAAGGGCTATTCCATGTCATTCGGAGTCATAAAATCATCGAGACATGAAAAGACCTTTGAGATCAAGGAGTCCAACCATTAACCCAGCACTGCCAAGCTCAACACTAGACCCTACCCCCAGGTGTCCCATTTACACATCTTTTAAGTCCCTCCAGGGATGGTGACTCCACCACTGCCCTTGGCACATATCACACCACGCTCAGCAATAAAGCTCTGGGCATTTTCCCAATGGAGCCGTTCTTGGACACTGCCTGGGCACTGGGCTGCTGGTGCCAGGTACAGGGGGATTGCCTTTGAACCACTTGGGTTGCTCTCTTTTTCCCCATCTCTTCACAGATTGTCCTGATGTTGACCCCAGGATATCCCACTCTTTCCAGTTCTCCCCCATCCCTCTGGGTCAGTGGATCATGAGAAGAGCTGCTCTGTGCTTGGTGCTGCTCATAACACCACACAGGCCCACGGGCAGTGCTTGTCCTCCTTGCCCTCCTCCTTCCCTGTCTGTGCCCAGGGCTTCCTGGGACAGCTGATGGAGAGATGGAGGCAGGGAGAGATTTAAAGCAGGAAGAGAGGCAGCGGGTGTGGGCTGAGTGTCTCCAAGGGCTGCCCAGGAGCTCTCCAAAGCAGTGCAGTGACAGCAGCACAGGCTGCAGAGACTGGGAGCTGAGGGAGGGGGATGTCTGCAGGACACAGCAGGGCAGGCCGGAACATCTTCATCCCGAGTCCTGATCACAAACTGGCTTGGTACCAACCAGCCACGTCCCCACCCACACTGCCTCGGCCCCTGGCATGCACAGCCCCAAACAGGGGGTTGTGATACCTTCCTCTCTCCCCAAAGCTCAGGCGAATGAGGACAGTCTTGTAGGTTGAGACAAGAACAGTTTAATAATTGAAAATAAAATAAAAATACAGCAACAATGGTAAATGTTCGTAATAATGATAATAATAGGGGAAAACCGAGTGATGCACAATACAATTGCTCACCACCCTCTGACTGATGCCAGATCCCCCTTCCTGATAACTCCCCCAAGTTTATAGACCGGGCCTGATGTTCTATTTGTGGGATATTCCTTTGGTGAGATTGGATCACCTGTCCCAGCTCTGCTCCCTCTCAGTTTCTTTTGTCAACCTCATCACTGGCAGAGAAGGAGGCAAAAAAAAAAAAAAAAGACTTAAGATAAACAGGACTTATCAAAAACCCAAACCATCAGTGTGTTGTCAACACCGTTCTCCTTCTGAATCCAAAACACAGCACTAGAACAGATACTGAGAACAAATTAACTCCACCCAGCTGAAACCAGGACACAGGGCCAGAGAAAGGGGCTCCTGTAGTGCCCTCATGAGAACAGGAGCCACTGCCCCAACTGTGCCCAGACCCCGAGGACTGTCCTCAACCCCCTGGGCTGTGTGAGCAGGAGACCCAGGGGAGCCACGATGCTGCTCTGCCCAGCACTCGCCTGGTGGCATCAGCCGTGTTGAGGACAGGCTGGAATGCAAGAACAACCCTGAGCAAGGGGAGAAGTTCAGTGCAGGGTGTTTGGGATGATAAGGAGGCTGAGCACGTGACTCAGGCACCGGGACTGCTGAGTGTGGAAAGGAGAATGCTTTGGTCAGAGAGATAAAATCGTCCCTGGAGCAGCTGCAGCCAGTGAAGAGGATTGGTTCCTTCTATCCAGGCATGAGCAGGTTGAGAAGGTTGGAAAGCAGCAATAGCCCGATGGAGCACATTCAGACACTCTTGTCTTAAAAGTCAGTGAAACACCTTTCTCTAAAACTGCCTCTCAAAACAACCCCTGAGCAACATCTCTCCACCTGGAAATCATACTGGAGAGCAGCTGCAGGGGAAAGGATGACACGGAGGCGTGGGCTGGGATGCAGCAGAATTTAATGAGTCAAGGGAGGGAAGAGAGGTGGATCCAAGGGGAGAGCCCAGAGCAGGGAGCAGCTTTAGCAGGGGAAGCAGCTCCTGCCACAGAGGCCACTGCCCAGGCCAGAGAGGCCAAAGCCCCCGGAGTTGATGGGCACTCCCTGAGAGCTGAGGATGCTGCCAACAGCAGCGGAGGTGGAGGATCCCACGGCGGTGTTCTGTGGGAAGGAGCTGAGGATGGGCCCGGGCAGGGTCACCACCACGGGGGAGGGCTGGATGAAGACATTGGAGTCCTGGCACTGCCTGACACAGGGCTCATTGCAGCTGTTGGCCAGCGGGGTCGGGCCGCAGGGCTGGCAGGGCAGGCACGGGGTGTAGCAGGACATGTCTGGGGCTGGAGCTGCACCTGGGACAGAGGGCAAGAAAAATCAAGGCATGAGGTGTGTTTGAAGGGCAACCTCTCACCATACCATGAAGGACATCCTTTCTCTCAACCCCAATGAGCCCCACCAAGAGTGACCAAGGACTCCACTAACCCATAGCTCAGGAGACACCTCAGTCCAGCCCTTCTCCATGTACACCTTCTCTCTCCCGTGGTAAGCAGCCTCAAGGCAGCAGAGAACAAGGAGGCAAGTATGTGACAGAAAACCCCAGAGAAGGACCAGGGGGAAGATAAAGGGAAGGAAGAAGAAGGAGGACAAGGAAGACAAGGAGGAGGATAAGAAAGGGTCAAACCTCACCTTCTTCCAAATGAATTTGAGGTAAAGGAGTGGATGAGAGAGTAAGGAGAAGAGCTCACTTTTATACTGCTCCTGCACTGCCCCAGGCCCACAGTCACTGCACAAGGGCAGTAATTTTCCAATAGACTCACCTCCAAAAATACCCAACCTTATGCCACAGGTGGTGTTTTGGTTTCTGTCAACGCTGCCATCTCATTTCCTCATTTCTGACATGACCATGAGGATCCACAGAGGATCTTTTGAAGTATTGGCATGAAAGGCCTGAGGATTTCCTGAGCAGGATCATGTCAGCACAGGCAGAAGATGTGCCCCCACGTGCTGGAGGGGTCTGTGCAGGCAGAGGACGAGGCTGTGGGGAAATATGGTGAGGTTTTTTGAAACCCCTCAGAGGGATCATGTCTTCCCACCAATGCAATCCTCTCCTGAGTCCCCACAGTCTTCTCCTAAGGAGGACATGCTGCAGCCCTCTCCCTCCCTGCCTGCCTCCCTGCTCAGGCCAGCACTCTGCCTCTATAGGTTGGCAGGTTATGTTGTTGCTTTCAAATGGCTTTGTCCAAGGAAATCTTCTCCTTCTGGGAATACAATTCTTGGTTTTTTGGCACAGTTGTCTGCTCTCATTGCAGGCTCTGGGGCACACAAGCACAGGGCACTTTTCCAGGACACACTGTCAGTCCTGAGAACAGCCCTGAGCTGTGGCAGCGCTGCCAAGCAGGGCAGGCTGAGGGCAATGGCCTTTGGGTACCTGGAGCTGTGGCTCTGGGCTCCAAGATGGTTTTCCTGGGAAAGGAATGGAGTTGCCCAAAGGATTGAGGCCTGGCAAGACCCTGCAGTTCCACGTGCCTGGGGATGCACAGGGAGGGGATGTGCCCAGAAGGGCCCTGCGTACAAACCCAGCTCTCACACTACACCAAGCAGTGATGCTCTTCCTGCCTTGCAGACATGGAGGCAGCTGGGACTCACCCCAGGAGGGCAAGGGAATGCCTTCAGTAGGCAAATTGCCTGGGATAGTCTCATAGACTCTCCCAATCCATGGTGAGTCAAGCCCTAATTTTGGAGTGGCCTTTTGGACCGAGGCCAAGTCAGGAGTGTGTGCTATCTGCAGGCTTGTGTCCCATGTGGGGCAGAATTCCCCTCCAGCAAGGGCAGCTCCATCCTTGCCCCAGGCAAGTGGATGCTTGGCAGCACTTCCACAGGTCAGGAGTGTCCTCAGGACTGACAGTGTGTCCTGGAAAAGTGTCCTGTGCTTGTGTGTCATCCAGGTCAGGGCGTAAAATGTGCAGCCAAAGTGCATCGTGGGGTGAGGAGAGGGAAGGAACAAGGAACTGTCCTGAGACCCAACACATCCCTCTGATAGTGAGGACAGTGGGACACAACTCCACAGGGCTTCTTGAGGAACCATGTGGTCAGGGAGGGCAAAAATCTCCTTCCACAACCCTGCTGACAGCACTGCTGGGGAGCCCCAGAGCCTGCAATGAGAGCAGACAACTGTGCCAAAAAACCAAGAATTGTATTCCCAGAAGGAGAAGATTTCCTTGGACAAAGCCATTTGAAAGCAACAACATAACCTGCCAACCTATAGAGGCAGAGTGCTGGCCTGAGCAGGGAGGCAGGCAGGGAGGGAGAGGGCTGCAGCATGTCCTCCTTAGGAGAAGACTGTGGGGACTCAGGAGAGGATTGCATTGGTGGGAAGACATGATCCCTCTGAGGGGTTTCAAAAAACCTCACCATATTTCCCCACAGCCTCGTCCTCTGCCTGCACAGACCCCTCCAGCACGTGGGGGCACATCTTCTGCCTGTGCTGACATGATCCTGCTCAGGAAATCCTCAGGCCTTTCATGCCAATACTTCAAAAGATCCTCTGTGGATCCTCATGGTCATGTCAGAAATGAGGAAATGAGATGGCAGCGTTGACAGAAACCAAAACACCACCTGTGGCATAAGGTTGGGTATTTTTGGAGGTGAGTCTATTGGAAAATTACTGCCCTTGTGCAGTGACTGTGGGCCTGGGGCAGTGCAGGAGCAGTATAAAAGTGAGCTCTTCTCCTCACTCTCTCATCCACTCCTTTACCTCAAATTCATTTGGAAGAAGGTGAGGTTTGACCCTTTCTTATCCTCCTCCTTGTCTTCCTTGTCCTCCTTCTTCTTCCTTCCCTTTATCTTCCCCCTGGTCCTTCTCTGGGGTTTTCTGTCACATACTTGCCTCCTTGTTCTCTGCTGCCTTGAGGCTGCTTACCACGGGAGAGAGAAGGTGTACATGGAGAAGGGCTGGACTGAGGTGTCTCCTGAGCTATGGGTTAGTGGAGTCCTTGGTCACTCTTGGTGGGGCTCATTGGGGTTGAGAGAAAGGATGTCCTTCATGGTATGGTGAGAGGTTGCCCTTCAAACACACCTCATGCCTTGATTTTTCTTGCCCTCTGTCCCAGGTGCAGCTCCAGCCCCAGACATGTCCTGCTACACCCCGTGCCTGCCCTGCCAGCCCTGCGGCCCGACCCCGCTGGCCAACAGCTGCAATGAGCCCTGTGTCAGGCAGTGCCAGGACTCCAATGTCTTCATCCAGCCCTCCCCCGTGGTGGTGACCCTGCCCGGGCCCATCCTCAGCTCCTTCCCACAGAACACCGCCGTGGGATCCTCCACCTCCGCTGCCGTTGGCAGCATCCTCAGCTCTCAGGGAGTGCCCATCAACTCCGGGGGCTTTGGCCTCTCTGGCCTGGGCAGTGGCCTCTGTGGCAGGAGCTGCTTCCCCTGCTAAAGCTGCTCCCTGCTCTGGGCTCTCCCCTTGGATCCACCTCTCTTCCCTCCCTTGACTCATTAAATTCTGCTGCATCCCAGCCCACGCCTCCGTGTCATCCTTTCCCCTGCAGACACTCTCCCAAGGCACAGATGTTGCCCCAGGGGGTTTCTGGGAGGAGCTTCTTGGGGATGGTTTTGCACCATTTGTCAGGCTGGCCCCGAGTGAGCTCCGTCCTGTGTGGAGTGACCCTCTGGTGTCTGAATTTCTGCCTCTTTGCCTCAGGACACAATTACCCTCCACTGTCCACTGACAACCAGATGTTTGCACATCTTTTCCTTTTCCTCCCTAAGCTCCACTCTGTGACACAAGTTCTCAGCATTGAATGTCTTACTGACCCGACACAGGCACCAGCTTCTCCTCAGACTGCAGGAGAACCTTCCCTAATCACAGGATTCTCAAAGTGAACCACACAGTGCAGGGGCTGCCTTCTCACACACCCACGGGATCATGGAATCATCGATTGATTTTTGTTGGCAGAGACCATTAAAGTGTTTCAACCTGACCTTGAAACACTTCCCCAGATGGGACACCCCATCATTCTCCGGGCAACCTTTTCCAGTGTCTCATCACACTCATCTTCAGTAATTTCTTCCTTATTTCTACCCTATTTCAGTGGAAAACTGTTGTTCCTTTTGCAATCACTGCAGGCCTTGAGAAAACGTCTTTCTCTGACTTCCTTATACATCCCCTTTACGTACTCAAAGGCTGCAATAAGATCTCCCCAGAGCAGCTCTTTCTCCTGCCTGAAGAACCTCGACTGCCTCGGCCTTTTTCCACAGAAGGTGTGATGTATCCATGTGATCATGTTTGCAGCCCTTCTCTGGAGCTGCTCTAACAGGTCCATGTTTGTTTTGACCTGAGGACTCCAGACTGGACACAAAGCTGCAGGGGAGGTCAAACAAGAGCAGATAAGAAGCCAAGATTCCCCTCCCTTGACGTGCTGACCATGTTTGTGTTGGTGCAGCCTAGGACATGATTGAATTTCTGACCTGAAAGTGCACATTGCTGGCTCGTGTCCAATTTTTAAATCTCCAGTATCCCATGTCTCTTTTAAAGGTCTGCTCTCAGTCCTTTGTTCTTCCAGACTGTTCTGATACTGTGTATTTCCTCAATGCAATTTTCCTGGGAAAATTTCTGGAGAGGAAGAGGCAGGGAGAAGCGCAGAGGAAGGAGGGATGAAGGGGGTGTGGGCTGAGTGTCTCCAAGGGCTTTCCAGGAGCTCTCCAGAGCAGGGCAGTGACAGCAGCCCAGGCTGCAGGGAAGTTTGCACATGATGAAGAGGAGATGCTGCACTGCTGCAGGACACAGCTGGGCGTGATGACATATGTCCATCCAGAGGCCAGATGGGAAGTTGGCTGTGTCGTAGCCAACCCTGTCACATCATTCCGTCTCTGAAAAGCTGGGCCCAGAGAAGGTGCTTTTGTGGTAACATCATCAAAACAGGCACAACTCCCAGGGCTGTCCCTGGACACAAAGACTGTCACCAACATCCTGGGCTTTCCGAGCAGGACCACAACCAGGACACTGATGGCAGCAAAGATCCCCCTCTGCTCAGCACTGCCCAGATGGCACCTGGCATGTTGTGCTGCCTGTTGGAGGGGAGTGCAAGGAAAAGCTCAACCAAGAGAAGCCAAATATATGAAATACACTGGCCAGGATGGTGAGTGGGCTGGAACACTTTCCTGGGGATGAGAGGCTGAGGACAGAGGGTTTCCTGAGAAGAGAGAAGAGAATGCTTTGATGGGATAACTAAAATAACTTGTGTAGTAGCTGTGCTCATTGCACAGTGGCAGGTAATTCTTCCGGGGACAGAGAGGCAGAGAAATTCAGAAAGGTGACCCCAAATATGACTAATCAGTGCTGTGTTAACATAATCAATGCTGTGCTGACAACCACGGCAATACCATCCCTAACGACCCCCTCCCAGAACCGCACAGCAACACCTCTCTCCCTGGCCATGTTGGATGAGGATCTGCAGGGGAAAGGATGACACAGAGGCGTGGGCTGGGATGCAGGAGAACTTTAATGAGTCCAAAGATTAGAAAGAAGTCACTCTGAGTGGAGATCCCAGTGAAGAGAGCACTGATGCTCTATCCCTGGGCTTGTACCATCCTGTGTGTCCCTGGGTTCCTTGCAGGGCCAGGGCAGCAGCTTCAGCAGGGGAAGCAGCTCCTGCCACAGAGGCCACTGCCCAGGCCAGAGAGGCCAAAGCCCCCGGAGTTGATGGGCACTCCCTGAGAGCTGAGGATGCTGCCAACGGCAGCGGAGGTGGAGGATCCCACGGCGGTGTTCTGTGGGAAGGAGCTGAGGATGGGCCCGGGCAGGGTCACCACCACGGGGGAGGGCTGGATGACCACGGTGGAGTCCTGGCACTGCCTGACACAGGGCTCATTGCAGCTGTTGGCCAGCGGGGTCGGGCCGCAGGGCTGGCAGGGCAGGCACGGGGTGTAGCAGGACATGTCTGGGGCTGCAGCTGCACCTGGGACAGAGGGTGGGGGAGGCAGAGCACAGGGGTGAGTGAGGGGAGTCTCTTGGCCCACCATGACGAAAAAAAGACAAAAGAAGGAGAAGAGAGCACGAGGCTGCTTAGAGAGGCCCACCAGCATCACTTTCCCCTCAGCCCCTGAAGCCCCAAGAGAGACCAAGCTCAGGGACTTCTCCGTGTGGACTATGGCTCAGGAGACACCTCAGCCAAAACCCAGCCTCTCCCCGGGCACACCTTCTGCCCCCTTCCCTCTTCCATGACAGGCAGTTCTCAGAACCCAAATGAGACCAAAAGGACAGGATAGACTTAGAAACTCCAAAGGAGGAGGAAAAGAAAGGGCTTCAGATTCACCTGGATCCCAAGGAGCTGGAAGGGAGTGGAGTGAATGTGAGAGTGAGGAGAAGGTCCTGCTTTTATGCTGCTCCTGCCCTGCCCCAGGCCCACAGTCACGGCACAAGGACAGCAATTTTCCAGCACATTCACCTCCAAAGCAAAGCATCCCACCCAATGCCACAGGGTGTTCTGGTTTCCAGCAATGCTGCCACCCCATTTCCTCATTTCTGATGGGCTTGCTCTGTGCTGCAGCTTTTTTCATGTGCTGCCTTGACAGGCCTAAGGATCCCCTGGATCAGAACGTGTCCCTGCAGGCAGAAGATGTGCCCCCACGTGCTGGAGGGTCCCGTGCAGGCAGGGGATGTTGGCTCAGGGCACTGACCTGCAGGGAGAGGCCCAGCCCTGCCCTGCACTGCCCAGAGCAGCAGAGCACCCAAAGGCTCCTCTTCCCACAGCACATCCCACGGGCTTCTCTCTCCTCCCTCTCAGCTCACTCCAGTGCTCACTGGCCACTGCTGCTCCAGGCAAATGCTTTCCTCTCCCTCCCTCCTCACGCCCTTGGTTCACAGAGAACCTTTGCCAGGCTGTCTGAGTGTTCCAGGCTTGGGTCAGGAAAGCCAAAGCCCACCTGGAGTTGAATCAGCAAAGCCTGCGGAGGGAAACAAGATCTTCCCCACAGGGCAGCAGCCAAAGGGAGGCTTGAGCCAGGGCTGCCTGGGGCAGCTTCACTGCGTGCAGGGCTTGGAGGAAAGGGGCAGGTACTCCAGGGCTGCTGGGCCATGGTCTTTACTGGCAAGATTTGCTGTCTCAGGGTCAGGCTCCTGCTATTCCTCACAAGGTGTGGAGCAGGGAAAACTTCCCAGAGCAGAGCAGGCTCAGGTGTGGGAACCTTTAAACAGCCCTGCCAACATGAGTGTGTGTGACCTGGTGATGGGCACACGAGTGCTGGTGTCAGGGAGAGGCCTCCCTGAGCTCCCCTTTGGAAGTGCTGGCACTCAGGGAATGCAGCTGAGCACTGGGAGAAAGACAACGAGCATCCTGACTTCTGAAACGGGGCATGGCTGCAGGTCTCCAGGGGCTGGCAGGAGGGACACAAAGTCCAGCTGGCAGACACTCCCCGCTGGGGCTCCACAGGCTCCAGGCTGGGGCCAGCAGTGTTTAACCCCCTTGTGCAAAGTCCTGCAGGGCTGGAGGGACAAACTCCTGCCCCACCCTGGGCTGGGGCTGAGGGGCAGCCACAGAGCTTTGCACCAGAGGACGTGGGTCCTGGGGGGCACCAGGACACAGCCTTGAGCCCTGGTGGAAATGGCATCCAACAGCATCCTGGGTGGCCTTAGGACAGGGTTTGCCATCAGCCTGTGGAATGGGATCCCTCTTCTCTGCTCCACGGTGCTCAGGAAACAGCTGCCACCAAGAGCAGCTGCCCGGTGTGAGAGAGGCACAGACATACTGGTACCAGTCCAGCAAAGGGCCTCAGAGCCCAGGGAGTGACTGGAGCCCCTGGGACAGGAGGGGTTGCCCGAGGTGGGCTTGTCCCTCTGGAGGAGAGAGGGCATCTGGGCACACTTCCCAGGAATGGGAAAAAGAGCTGCTGGAAGGGAGTCCAGAACTCAGAGCCAGACTCTCCTGAGTCCTATCCAGTGAAGGGACAAGAGGCAACAGGTACATCTGGAAATATGGGAAGTTCCAGGGAAACATAAGAAATGACATTGTTAGCGTGATGTTGGTAAAGAAGTTGTCTGTGGCTGACATGGACAGCTGTGGATTCTTCATCCTTGAAGGGATTCAGAGCTTGACAGGACTTGGCCCTGAGCATCCTCCAAAGGCTGATCATGCTTTCAGCAGGGGCAGTTGGAAGAGATGACATCCAGAGTTATTTCCAGCCTCAAGGATTCTATTATGGGGGAAAAATGGTGATGCACAGCTGCCTCTGAGAAAGAACTTTTTAGGAACATTAGAATCAAGGGCAGCCTTGTGTGCTCAGAAGGACCCTGGGTACAAACCCAGCTCTCACACTACACCAAGCAGTGATGCTCTTCCTGCCCTGCAGACATGGAGGCAGCTGGGACGCAGCCCAGGAGGGCAAGGGAATGCCTTCAGTAGGCAAATTCCCTGGGATGGACTCTCCCTACCCCTGGTGAGTCACACTCTAATTTTAGAGTGGCCTTGCATCAGCTTTTTGGTGTTGGCCAAGACAGGAGTGTGTGCTGTCTGCAGGCTTGTGTCGCAGTCAGGGCTGAATTCCCCTCCAGCAAGGGCAGCTCTATCCCTGCACGGAGAAAACCATCTCCAGCACTGGGCTGTTACCAAGTACACAGCTCCAGGCAGCCCTACAGACTTTGCCCTCAGCCTGACCTTATTTCAGCAAAAGAGGGTGGACATGAATGTCCTCATTTTTCCCCGGTCCCACATTCCATTTCTCCAGAGACCCCTCTGGCACATTTTCCTGTACTGATGTGTCCCTGCCCAGGCCTTGGGCCTTTCATCTCAATACTTGAAAGCATCTTCAGAGGCCTAATGGTCATGGCAGAAATGAGGAAATAAAACAGCAATGCTGATGGAAACAAAAGCACAACCTGGGCCATTACGTAGGATGTTTTGCTTTGGAGATGAGTGTTTTAAAATTACTGCCCTGTGCAGTGACTGTGGGCCTGGGGCAGTGCAGGAGCAGTATAAAAGTGGGCCCTTCTCCTCACTCTCTCATCCACTCTTCTCGCCTCCATCTCCTTAGGAACAAGGTGGGCCTGGTGACTTTTCTCCTCTCCTGACTCTTCCTCTTCTTCTTTTTGTTTTCCAGTGCATACCCTTTTGTCCTGTGCTGCATTATGGGACTGTTCCATGGGAGGTGACATGAGAGGTCACATGGAGGGAGGCTGGGGCTTGGCTGAAGTGAGTGATGGTCTAGGCAGGAACTCTCTTGGATTGGTTGCTCTTGATGGCGAGCTTGTGGGTTAAATGTAAGAAAAAACCTGTGGGCATCCCTGCAACACCTCCAGCTCTTGTCTCCATCTTGGTCTGACATGGCTCCCTCATGGTGGGGTGAGAGGCTGCTCCTCACCCATCTACCCTGCTCTGCTTCCCCCACCCTCTGTCCCAGGTGCAGCTCCAGCCCCAGACATGTCCTGCTACACCCCGTGCCTGCCCTGCCAGCCCTGCGGCCCGACCCCGCTGGCCAACAGCTGCAATGAGCCCTGTGTCAGGCAGTGCCAGGACTCCAATGTCTTCATCCAGCCCTCCCCCGTGGTGGTGACCCTGCCCGGGCCCATCCTCAGCTCCTTCCCACAGAACACCGCCGTGGGATCCTCCACCTCCGCTGCCGTTGGCAGCATCCTCAGCTCTCAGGGAGTGCCCATCAACTCCGGGGGCTTTGGCCTCTCTGGCCTGGGCAGTGGCCTCTGTGGCAGGAGGTGCTTTCCCTGCTAAAGCTGCTGCCCATGGCCCTGGGGAAGGCCCTCGAGGACTCACAAGATGGTATTTCACTGGTGGTGGAGCATCATCTTGCTGCTTCCAGAGGGGCTGAGCCAGCCCAGCAGCCCTTGCAGAAGGACGAGGCTCTGGGCAAGCACGGCCCAGCCCTGCCTCTACCCTCTGCCACTCTCCTTTCTGTCCTGTGTCCTTGTTCCCTTGTGCTCCCTGGTCTGTGAGGCCCTCACAGTCAGCCTGGGGACGACCGGCTGACCCTGCTGCTTCCGTGGGGCAGGCAGATGGACACCTGCTGGAATCTCCACCAGAGTTACTTGGTGCAGACTCCGATGTGCCTCTGGTGCTCCCTGCACTCAGTTACCCAGTTCCACCTTTTGACACAATAAAGTTCTGCTGCATTTGAGCCCTTGCCTATGTGTCATCCTTTCCCCTGCAGATGCCATCACAAAATGATCGGGGGAGTCTGCCACTCTCTCCTTTCCGTCCTGTGTCCTTGTTCCATTGTGCTCCTGTGGACTCTCAGCCACACAGAACTGGCCTGGGGAGGACCTGCTGGCCCTGTTCCATCTCTGGGTCAGGCAGGTTGACACCTGGTGGGGTCTCTACCACAACTAAAGGGGCACAGATTCCTTTCTGTCCCTGGTGCTCCCTCACTGGGACCTCCACTCAGGGCAACCTCTTTTCCCTCTTGACTCAATAAATTTCTGTTTCATCCCAGCCCGTGTCTCTGCATCATCCTTTCCCCTGCAGGTGCTCTCTCAAGATGCCCAGGGAATAAGATGTTTTTCAGGTGTGTTTCTGTGAGTGTTTGCTTGGGATGAATACGCAGTGATGGGTAACAGCATTGTATGGGACCTACATAAGATGGAGTCAAGTTTCAGCACATTAACTCCTCTTCTAGTTCCTTGTAGTTGGAGCTGGAATGGTGCTGAGAACACAGAAGTGTTTTGAGTTTTTCTGGGCAGGACTTGCCCAGCATCAGTTCCTTATCTCCAGCCTCCTCTTCAGAACACCTGTAGTGGCGTTGTGGGCAAGAGGCTTGGAGAGTACACAGCCAGGACAGCTGACTGACTCTGACCAAAGGGATATTCCATACCATAGGACATGATGGTCAGCAATAATTGCTTAGAGAAAATAGTAGGTGGGGGGGGGGGGGGGGGAGCATTCGTTAGTAGATTGTTTGTCTTCTGAAAAAACTGCTAAATGTGACCCTGCTTCCCAGGAGTGGCTGGACATTGCCTGTTGATGGGAAGGTGATAATAAATCTCTTTGGTTTGCTGTGTTTCTGCAGTGTTTCCTTGCTTAACTTCATTAAACTGCCTTTATCTCAACACACAGTATTTTAGTTTTATATCCCCCCCCCCTTACTCTGAGGAGGGGGAGTGATAGGATTTTGGCGGCCAGGAAAGATGATACTGTGCTGGGGGAGCTGCCTGGTGGGGAGGATGAGGGAATACACCTCTCCCTTCTCACCCAAGAATGACACAGGTTGTTTTGTGCTGACTCACAACTCCTTTTCCATCTTAGTGTGAGGTGTTTAAAAATACTAATTAACTCTATTGACTTAATGTGGGGTTTGAGGTATCTGGTCAGGGTGGCATAAGAAGAGACGAGTTTTTGGTATGGCAACAGTGAAACATGCCCTGAGGTGGTCGGTCCCTGGGTGGCAGCTTTTAGAAAATACTGGAGCTTGACCTGTGCCTGTTGAGCCACCATTCAGTAGTATCAGAGGACAGTGATTCAGACAGGGACCCAAATCACTTCTGAGGATGTCACAGTAGAGCCATGCATCCAAACTAAGTTAAGAACATGGTGGTTGAGGCAGACACCCAACTCTCACATGAGAACACCAGGGTTGAGGTAGGGACCCAAACAACACGTGTGGTAATTGTCCCAGTAGGAGAAAAGAAATAGTGGACAAGGAGGTGATCCACTGTCGATGGATCGAGTGAGGGGGAGAAAGGGCCTGACCAGGAATCAGCAAAGAGGATGCACTAACTGTGGAGAGAGCATCTTCCTGTCCCTGAAAGTCTGAAGAAAAGCTCTCTTGCTGTCAGCACCTCAGCTGTGAAGGGTGACCCATTGTAGCCTATTCTGTTCCATGAGGTCAGTGGGAAAGGGAACCCCAAGATCCTGCTACACAGCCCCTCTGGCTCTTCCTGCAAGAGCAGTGGGAGCACTGAGGATGGTAAGAGCCCACCTTGAAGGTGGAAGTCTGTGTATGAGGTATGAAGGGGGAAGACAGCTGCCAAGGTCATGCAAGAAGGCTGTCAGTTTACTTGCAGTTCAGTTCCCCTTTCATGTGGGGCAAGAAAGGAGAAGTGTTTGAGAAGTGCAAAAGAATAATTCCAATTCTTTTGGAAGGTGGATTGGCCTTGAAGAGAAGCCAGGTTGAAGGACCTGCATAGGGGATGTGTTTCTTGAAAGTAAAATAGCAGGGTGGGTGTTGTGACATCCCTGTGGATGTGATCAATAAGTTAATAACTATGACTCCACCACCTGGTAGCCAGACAAGACCAAACCACCATAAGAATAATTGTTTACTGCCTCTTCTGTGGACACTGTAGACCCTGAGGAAGTTGGGGGTGCTTGGGGAGCACCCAGCACTCACAAAAGGAGAGGAGAATGGGGAGTGCAATGGGTCCCCCTCAGGTATTGTGACTTGCAGTTTTGGAAGTCAACCATGTCCTCCAAGGGTAGTAGGAGGTGAAGCAAGCAGAGGAGAGGTGAGGAAGCAATTCCTCCTTCTCTGGCTACCGCTGTGCCAGGGAACAAGAATCAAGTAGGAAATGTCTTTCCAGTGGTTCAGCTGAACTGATGGAAGGGCTTTGCCATGCCATATAATGTGCCCAGCAAAAAAACTATGGGCAGTCTCTCAGTCTCTCCAAAGTAGTTGTTCTGTTTGAAGATGGCTGGGCATCGAGCTGCTGCTGCAAGGTGGTGGGTGATTGGTCTTGCACAACTTGTGCTTTTTCCTTTCTTGTCCCTTTCCTTCTCAACTGCCATTATCTTGACCCAAGAGTATTTCACTCCCTTGCACTTCCAATTCTTGGTTGATCCCATTGTGATAGTGGAGTGAATACAAATGGCCAGGGGGAGCTTAGAGCCGATCGGGGTCAACACACGCACAGACCCACAGGCAGTTCTTGTCCCAGTCACTTTCCTCCTTCCCTGTCTGTGCCCAGGGTTTCCTGGAAAAAATCATGGAGAGATGGAGGCAGGGACAAATTCAGGGCAGGAAGGGCTGTCTCGAAGGGCTGTCCAGGAGCAACTGAGGGAGGGGAGTGACTGAACTGCTGCAGGACACAGCTGGGCAGGGTGACACGTGTCCACCCAGAGCCCTGATCAGACATTGGCTTGGTAGCAACCAGTTGTCCTTCTGTCCCTGAGAAATAGCAGCCCAAAAGCAAGACCAGAAAAAGATGCTTTTGTGGTAATGCCATCAAAAGAGGTGCCACTGCCAGGGCTGTTTCCAGACAGCAGGACTGTTTCCAGACAGCAGGACTGTTTCCAGACAGTAGGACTATTTCCAGACACTGAGGACCATCATCAACATCTTTGTTGAATTTTGGGCTCTAATGCAAGAAAGATGCATCTACAAGAAGGGCCAGAAGGAGCATCCAGAGAACTACAGGCCCGTTAGTCTGCCCTTGGCACCAGGGAAGGCTGTGGAGCAGATCATCTTGAGTGCACTCACAAAGCACATACAGGACAACCAGGTGATCAGGCTCAGTCAGAATAGCTGTAGAAAAGACACATCCTGCTTGACTGACCTGATCTCCTACGACAAGATAACCAGCCCACTTAGTGGACAAGGGAAAGGATGTAGATTTTGTTTACCTGGACTTTAGTAAAGTTTTTGACACCATTTCCCACAGCATTCTCCTGGAGAAACTACCTGCTCATGTGTATCATACTCACTGGATAAGAAATTGTCTTTATGGCTGGGCCCAGAGAGTAGAGGTGAGTGCAGTTAAATCCAGTTGGTGGCTGATCACTAGTGGTGTCGCCCAGGGCTCAGTTTTGGGTCCAGTTCTGTTTAGTATCTTTATGGACGCCCTGGATGAGGGGATCAAGTGCACCCTCAGTTAGTTTGCAGATGACTCCAAGTTGGGTGTCATTGTTGTACTAGATCTGCTGGAGGTTAGAAAGGCTCTACAGAGGCATCTGACCAGGCCAGATTGATGGGCCAAGGCCAACTGTATAAAGTTCAACAAGGAGAAATGCTGTGTCCAGCCCCTGGGTCACAACAACTCCCTGCAGTGCTCCAGGCTGGGGGCAGAGTGGCTGGAAAGGACCTGGTGGTGGTGGTGACAGTGGCTGAACATGAGCCTGAGTGTGTCCGGGTGGCCAAGAAGGCCAATGGCCTCCTGGCTTGTAACAGGAATAGTGTGGCAGCAGGACCAGGGCAGTGATTGTTCCCCTGTACTTGGCACTGGTGAGGCCACACCTTGAATCCTGGGTTCAGTTCTGGGCCCCTCACTGCAAGAAGGACATTGAGGGGCTGGAGCGTGTCCAGAGAAGGGCAACAGAGTTGGGGAAGGGTCTGGAGCACAAGTCTGATGAGGAGCAGATGAGGAGCTGGGGATGTTAAACCTGGAGAAAAGTTAGACTCAGAGAGGGACCTTATCACTCTCTAAAACTCCCTGAAAGGAGATTGTAGCGAGGTGGGTGTCAGTCCCTTCTCCCAAGTAACAAGCGATAGGATGAGAGAATATACCCTCAAGTTGCACCAGGGGAGATTTAATTGGCCATTAAGAAAAATTTCTTCAATGACGTGATTGTCATGCACGGGAACAGATTGCCCAGGGAAGTGGTTGAGTCACTGACCCTGGAGGTGTTTAAAAGATGTGTACATGTGGCAATTCATGATATGGTTTAGTGGTAGGCTTGACAACATTAGATATATGGTTGGACTAGACGGTCATAAGGCACATTCCAACCTAAGTTATTGTCATCCTATGAAAGATTTTCATCAAGCTCAGCAAACTGAGCAGAAGAGTGACTAGATGGTGAGGGGGTTGGAGCACTTAGCTGAGGGAATTGGGCTTGCTGAGAGTGGGAGACATAAAAGCACCTGTGGTATAACTCTGTCATTGAAGTGTGTTGGATCATTCTATCCAGCCTCAGATAGGTAGAGAAGTTTGAAAAAAGGAAATCACACTCTAAGCACGGTCAAAGCAACGCTGTGATAATGGCCACTGCACGAGCATATCCAACAACCCCCCCGATCATTTTGTGATGGCATCTGCAGGGGAAAGGATGACACATAGGCAAGGGCTCAAATGCAGCAGAACTTTATTGTGTCAAAAGGTGGAACTGGGTAACTGAGTGCAGGGAGCACCAGAGGCACATCGGAGTCTGCACCAAGTAACTCTGGTGGAGATTCCAGCAGGTGTCCATCTGCCTGCCCCACGGAAGCAGCAGGGTCAGCCGGTCGTCCCCAGGCTGACTGTGAGGGCCTCACAGACCAGGGAGCACAAGGGAACAAGGACACAGGACAGAAAGGAGAGTGGCAGAGGGTAGAGGCAGGGCTGGGCCGTGCTTGCCCAGAGCCTCGTCCTTCTGCAAGGGCTGCTGGGCTGGCTCAGCCCCTCTGGAAGCAGCAAGATGATGCTCCACCACCAGTGAAATACCATCTTGTGAGTCCTCGAGGGCCTTCCCCAGGGCCATGGGCAGCAGTTTTAGCAGGGGAAGCACCTCCTGCCACAGAGGCCACTGCCCAGGCCAGAGAGGCCAAAGCCCCCGGAGTTGATGGGCACTCCCTGAGAGCTGAGGATGCTGCCAACGGCAGCGGAGGTGGAGGATCCCACGGCGGTGTTCTGTGGGAAGGAGCTGAGGATGGGCCCGGGCAGGGTCACCACCACGGGGGAGGGCTGGATGACCACGGTGGAGTCCTGGCACTGCCTGACACAGGGCTCATTGCAGCTGTTGGCCAGCGGGGTCGGGCCGCAGGGCTGGCAGGGCAGGCACGGGGTGTAGCAGGACATGTCTGGGGCTGGAGCTGCACCTGGGACAGAGGGCAGGGGAAGCAGAGCAGAAACTCTGGATATGGAGCAACCTGTCACCCCATCAAGAGTGAGGTAAGTCATGAGCTGGAGAAAAGAGCTGGGGACTGTGTAAGGAGGTCCAAAGGTATCACCTTCCTTTCATCCCAAAATAACCCTGTTCATAGCAACCAAGCCCAGAGAGATCCCTTCCTAGCCTGTACCTCAGGAGACACCTCACCAAGCTCCAACCTCTGATCATGACACAACTTCTGCCCCTTTCCACCCCCTCCCCTCTCCCATGATAGCACTTCCAGGACCCCACATAGGACTGGGGTAGATGTGAGCTGAGGTGCATTGGAGGTGGAGAAGGAGGAGAAGGATGAGAAAGAGCTTCAGACTGACCTTGTTCCCAAGGAGATGGAGGCGAGAGGAGTGGATGAGAGAGTGAGAAGAAGGTCTCTCTTTTATACTGCTCCTGCACTGCCCCAGGACCACGGTCACTGCACAGGGCAGTAATTTTCTAACAGACTCACCTCAAAAACAAAATGTTCTATGTAATGGCCCAGGTGGTGTTTTGGTTTCTGTCAACGTTGCCACTTCATTTCCTCATTTCTGACGTACCTGCTCTGCCATGTCGGCTGCTTTCATGTGCTGAGATGAGGAGTCAAGGACATCTTGGGTAACGTTGTGTCAGTGAAGGTAGAAGATGTGCTCCAGATGCTGAAGGGGTCCTACACAGGCAGGGAATGTTGTCTTGGAGCTGTGAATTGGAATTTTTTACAGTTCCCTTAGTAGGAAGATGCTTTAGCTCTCTTCCTGTTGCTGCAGTTTGCTCTGGGGAGTATGTTTGCCAGCTTGTCCAAGTGTACAGCATCGGGGACAACCAAAGCCCACACGAAACAGGCAAATCATGCAGAGGGCACAAGGAATTCTTTCAAGGAGATGAGCAGCAAAAGGGACATTTGTCCAAAGGCTGACTGGGGCAGCTTCACTGGGGACAGGAAAGGTGGAGGCACTGAAGGGATTCTTCGCCTTGGCCTTTACCTGCTGGAATTGCTGTCAAGAGATTGGGCTCCTGATGCACCTTGGAAAGTTGACAGCAGGAAAAGCAGCAGGAAAGGCTGACCTGCACTAGGGCAGGATCAGATGTGGGAACACTTAAACAGACTGGACTGACATGAGTGTGTGTGACTTGGTTCCATGCACCCTGTTGGTGTCAGGTCAAGGCCGCTCTCAATTCCCTTTGAAAGACACAGCAGTCACAAAATGACTGGAACCAACTGGCTGCCAAAGAGCTTTGCAGCAGAGGAAGTGGGTCCTGGAGGACACCATGAGGCAGCCCTGGGCCCTTAGGGAAATGTCATCCAACAGCATCCTGGACTGCATTAGAAAGGGAGTCTTTCACATGATGGAAGGTAATCTTAGAAGTGTGGAGACAGAGGAGTCAGTGCCTCTCTCAGTCATCACCTACAAGGCCTCCCAGGTTGCTGCATCCCCTGAAAGCATTCCAAGAAGCTGGGGGGGCCTTCTCAGCAGGGGCATCAAAAAAGGACTGCCTGAAAACCAGTGAAAGTCAGCTGATGCATTCCAGGTCATGGCTGCTATAAAGGGAGTCCTAGACTATCTGGAGAACTGGGCCACAGGAGCCTTCTGGAATTCACGAAGGATGAATGCACATGGAAATAAAAACCTCTTCAAGAAGTACAGGCTGGAGACTGAACTATGCTACAATCTGAGAGCCCTCAGACCTCCTGTATTATGAGAGAGGGTGTGCCTTGGGGAGAGACTTGGAGAGCAGGTGCATGAGCCTCTTACTCCAGGCCAATAAGACCATGCTGTGGTGAGGAGTTCTCCTGAGTGCTCTGTGGGGGGATAGAAAGGGTTGCAGAAAACATCTTCCCACTGGTAAGGATTCATCTCTCATCCTATACATTGAGTATTCTCTTGGCATTTGTGCTTCAGCACATTTCATTTCCAATGCCCAAAGGCCTTGCTTGGAGAGCAACCCAGCAGTGTTGGGGGAGTAGGAACTTGTCCAACTCCCCAGTGCATGAGGGTTATCAGGGACCTGCTGTGCCACATGCCTGGGGATGCTCAGGGAGGGGATGCGCTCAGAAGGGCGCCGGGTACAAACACAGCTCTCAGACTACACCAAGCAGTGATGCACTTCCTGCTCTGCAGACATGGAGGCAACTGGGATGCATCCCAGGAGGGTAAGGGAATGCCTTCAGTAGGCAAATTTCCTGGGATAGGCTCTCCCCGCCTGTGGCGAGTCACGCTCTAATTTCGGGTTGGCTGTGCGTCAGCATTTGGTGTGAGGGCAAGCCAGGAGTGTGTGTTGTGTGCAGACCCACGTCCCTTGCAGGGACACAATTCCCCTCCAGCAAGGGCAGCTACATCCATAACCCAAGAAAACTGGTCCAAGCACTGGGCTATACCTGAGTACACAGCTCCAGGCAGCCACAACAGCCACTGCTGTCAGCATGACCTTCTTGCCAACACACCCACAGCTTCAGGGGCTCAAAGGACAGTCAACATGTTTGGAAAAGTCTCTCCTGTTGGTCAGGGTCTAGAGAGTGCAGCCAAAGTACATGGCAGCATGAGGAGAATGGGACATCCAAGGTGCTGTCCCAAGGTCCAACACACCCCTCACGTAGTGAGGAGAGACCTGACTCCATCAGAACTGTTGGATAATCATGGTATTTAGGAAGGATAACATTTTCCTTCTTCATGGTGATTGAAGGCAGTGATATGAGACCCCCAGAGATGGCCATGAGAGGGGATGACTCTTCCAAATAAATCAGTAGAGGATTGAGGGTGAAGGATAAGTCGCATTGTCAGGCACAGGAGCCTTTGTGCACCCAGGACGAAGTCTGGCATTGGCAGGAGGAGATTCAAACTCTTCTGCAATGGGGGGTGAAAAGAACCTCACCAGATTTCCCCAGTTCCATGTCCTACATCTGCACAGACCTCTCCTACGCTTGAGGGCACATCTTCTGATGGTGGTGACATGATCCCTCTTGGGAAATCCTTGGACCTGTCATCCTGGAACTTGAAAGGAACCTACAAAGCCTAATGGGCATGGCAGAAATGAGGAAATGTACTGGCAGTACTGATGGAAAACAAAACACAACCTGGGGCATTAGGTGGGATATTTTGCTTTGGAGATGAGTCTGTTGGAAAATTACTGCCCTGGTGCAGTGACTGCGGGCCTGGGGCAGTGCAGGAGAAGTATAAAAGTGGGTCCTTCTTCTCATCCTCTCATCCACTCCTCCTGACACGATCTCCTTGGGAACAAGGTGAGTCTGAAGCTCTTTATCCTTCTTTTTTTCTTCTTTCCACTCATTATCCTTCCATGGGATTTTTCAGCACAAAACTGCTCTTTGGTTCTATACTTGCTTTTTGGGCTGCTTGCCACGGGGGAGGGAAGGGTGCAGAAGGGGTGGCAAGGAGAGAAGCTGGAGCTCAGTTAGGGGTTATGGGCTAGGAAGGGATCTCCCTGGGCTTGGTTGCATTTTGCAGGTCTCTTTTGGGCTTTGGAGAAGGAGAAGCCTGTGGGCCTCCCTGTGCCAGGGTTGTGGGTTTGATTCCCGTATGGGCCATTCACTTATGAGTTGGACTTGATGATCCTTGTGGGTCCCTTCTGATCCAGAATATTTTGTGATTCTGTGACTCTGCATGACACCTCCAGCTCTTGGTGCCACCTCGTGTCTTCTCTCCCTTGTGGTGGTGTGACAGGCTTTCACTCACCCCTCATGCTTTTCTTCCCCCTGCCCTCTGTCCCAGGTGCAGCTCCAACCCCAGACATGTCCTGCTACACCCCGTGCCGGCCCTGCCAGCCCTGCGGCCCGACCCCGCTGGCCAACAGCTGCAATGAGCCCTGTGTCAGGCAGTGCCAGGACTCCATTGTGACCATCCAGCCCTCCCCCGTGGTGGTGACCCTGCCCGGGCCCATCCTCAGCTCCTTCCCACAGAACACCGCCGTGGGATCCTCCACCTCCGCTGCCGTTGGCAGCATCCTCAGCTCTCAGGGAGTGCCCATCAACTCCGGGGGCTTTGGCCTCTCTGGCCTTGGTGGTGGCTACTGTGGCAGGAGGTTCTTCCCCTGCTAAAGCTGCTGCCCATGGCCCTGGGGAAGGCCCTCGAGGACTCACAAGATGGTATTTCACTGGTGATGGAGCATCATCTTGCTGCTTCCAGAGGGGCTGAGCCAGCCCAGCAGCCCTTGCAGAAGGCCGGGGCCAGCCTGGGCTCTGGGCAAGCACGGCCCAGCCCTGCCTCTGCCCTCTGCCACTCTCTCCTTTCTGTCCTGTGTCCTTGTTCCCTTCTGCTCCCCTGGTCTGTGAGGCCCTCACAGCCAGCCTGGGGAGGACCTGCTGGCCCTGCTGCCTCTGTGGGGCAGGCAATGGACATCTAGAGGTTCTCAGCTGCAGTCATGGGGCACAATCTCTTATGTCTCCCTGGTGCTAAACACACCATGACCATTGCTCAAAATGACCTAATTTCTCTCTTTGGACTCATTAAACTTCTTTTGCATTCGAGCCCTTGTCTCTGTGTCATCCTGTCCCCTTAGAGATGCTCTCCTGAGATGCCCAGGGAGAGATGTTGCTCAGTCTTTATTCTGTCACCTGGTGCTTGGTGTTTCTAAACTGACTGTTAACACAGGCTTGCATCAAGTTTGCTTAGTCATACATTGGGTTACTCTGTGCTTTCTAAGCCTTGCAAAACTAGCAAGGTGATGATATTCCAGCTGCCAAAGGGATTTTACTGCTAATGGCATCCATGGTCAACCTTAAACTTTGTAGAAGGAAAGTTCATACAGAGCACAACTGTGTTTACTACACCAGGATAACATGGTCCACATCTGCCAGTCCTTCCTACGCCATGAAATTTCACTTCCTTCTGGTTTGAGGGTCCACTTCCCACAGAAACTGCATGCCAGAATCCATTTTGTTATGTCTGGGAACAATCCCTCCTTTCTCTGCAGTGGGAGAAAAGCTCTGCAAAGACCAAAGAAGTTTTTTCACAGG